GACGCGCGCATGCACCGTCACCCACCATCTGTGCTGCGCGCGCTTCTCCCCTTCGAGAACATTCTACAATTCTCCTGATTCTCCAGTGGACGCGCATGCGCCGTCGCGCTTCGAGAACGTTCAACAGCTGACAGTGCATGCGCCGTCGCGCTGTATATATACTCAAGGTCGGCGCTCGCTCGCTCAGTTGCCGCTCGTCGGTTGGTTTGTACGGCGCGTCGACGTCCAAGGTCGCGGTGAAATGAATTCCAACGAATCCACAAACACAATGATCGACGTCCCTTCGACCAGCGCCGCCCTTTCGCATACGTGTGTACGTGTTCACTCATTTAACACCCCCTCCTACAACCACGTTAACCAATTTAGCCATCGACCCAAGTAAGTCGCAATTTAACACCCCATTTCACAACCACGTTAACCAATTTAGCCATCGACCCAAGTAAGTCGCACTTGAACACCCCGTTAACCAATTATATGCTCCGCATCCTCCTCAGTGTTCCCCCGAGGGAAGCTGCGGGCAATCTTTTTCTGCTCTTCGTGCATTACAAGACAGCCACTTGCCAGCAAAGTAAGCAGTGCTGTCTCTTTTTGCTTTCTGCGTACGAGAAACATCGAAAACTAGACCTCCGGATAGCCTCGCGGCATTTGTGAACCGTGACAACAACCGGGTGACAGTGCATCCATCCCGCGTTCGCCCCGTAGTAGATGGCATATTCGGCGGCGCGGTGCGCGCCCAGTGCGAACAACCCTGCGTTTCGGCGGCAGAAGAATTTCGGTCGCTGCAGAAAGCGGATGCTTCAGTGTGAACTGGGCGTAACGCAGCGCCTCCAGAATACCATTGCCTGATTTTCTTGCACATAACATCAAATAAACGTTTTAATCACTCTCTCAAGACGCAAGACTATCGTCTTTCAACGACATTTGCGGTGTAACATGCAGATACGGGGCCATTTTTTTCATGATCAAAATAAGCCGAGTAGTGCGTGGGCATTTTCATGGATATGTTCCAAGTCTACGTATTCGTTTTCACATATGATACAGCTAGCATATGGAAATTGCCTAGGGAGACAAAAAGTCATACATGAAGCTTTTGCAATGGATTGGAGCATTCAAACACTCACTCCCTACGCAATGCGCATTGTGCGACACCTGCTTGTTGCTTTGCTGTTCTAAAGCGGTTCAGTACACATATTATTTTGATTCCTTACGCGACTAGAAACCTGCCTAGGTTCCATTCGCAATGGTGTTTCAAGCACGAGCATCGCTCACTGGTAGAGTGCAGAGCTGGTACGCAGGAGCCAAGGTTTGAATGCTATCGAGTCCACAGAATATTTATTTATTTTATTTCGCACAATAGTAGTTGCGGACACCGGCGCTGGCGGCGGAGGAGAGCAACGGCGCCAAAATGACCCTTGTTATCTCACAGCATCTCACAGTAGCGTCCACATTTTGCATGGGAAATACGTGGACGCTGCCAAGTATCAGTCGCATAGTGCCTTCTCGACTTGTGTCACAGACCACAAGGTGGCAGCAATGGCGACGGTGACTTCCTAGGCAAACGAGCGGATACACCTGAAAAGGCTGCTATAGCGCTGGTCACCCAAACGAGCGAGGATACCATAGTGGTCTTTACCGACTTAAAACATCGGCACGCAACTACCTGAAAGTAAGGATCTCCACGACAGCGATAAAGACGCTGAAGTGCTTCGACACTGCTCCACCATGCAACTCCTATTATCTGGACACATGCCACGGCTCACGAATGCGTCAATCGGGCTTCCCCACGTGAGACACTTCCCCCTCAAAACACAACAAAAGAAACCTAATTGGTACCCTTAATCTACCACAAATGGCTGCGACAGCATCGGCTTAAACGCAGGTTCACCCCTCCCTCCTTATTCCAAACTATCTAGAGACGAAAGTGTATGGTCTACAGGTGCCTTCAAAGAAATATATGTATGCACGGCGTTTCAATGCATCACCTCACTCTGACGTGATGCGACTGCATTTGCCCGACACTGTAATCTGGCAGACACCTATAGCGCATTTTCTACCGCGAATGCAAAAGCAGCATCCCAGCCACACAAGCTGGAGCAGTAGCTCATCCTCGAACCTCCTCAGTGAAGCGCGGGAGGCTGCGATCTCCAAGCCAGCCTAGGTTGACAAGCGCTAAATCCTCGTGCGAAGCCTGGCAGTGATCCATACCAGAGCAGTTACTGGAATGAGGGATCCGTGAACGCTCACTCATTGGCCACCTACTAAGCGTTTTTCTCTCTCTTTTTATCATTTACATATTTCCCGGTTTTTCGGTCACGGACATGACGACGATTTCGTGCTGAAAACTATGGATGCCCAGAGTAATTTGGACGCCGTAGTTTCTGTGATAAATACATCTTCAACACTATCACGTTAAACACTTATGAGCACCTGCCTGCCGATACTTCAACGCGAGCATCTGTGAGACCGGTGGTTGAATGTGTCTCTTTGAGAAACAGGACTGCAAAACACACGGTGGCGGTTAGTAGGAAATGTCGCGACATAGTTTTATACAGGTTTCTCGTCATAGCTTCGTGGTATCGTCACGCACTCTTCTTATTTCACTGCATTTTCTGTGGCTCGAGTAGGGGCCTCTGGTTATTCTCAGTGTTTTACTTTTTTCTTGCTGTCTTGTTTCCTTATTTCGCCCTCTGCCTCTTCGCTTGCACTCCACATATACGTTGGAAAAACAGGAGTTCATGAGCTCATTGAAAAACGTGCGCGACTACGAAAATCATCGAAGCCGCACCTACAACTTGTGACAACACATGCAGTCCTACCGAAGCACACAGAGTAAACAAAAAAATGTTGCGTGGGCTCATTGCCATCGTAGAGTTTTTACAGAGAAAACTGTTAGAAGATCAAAACTCGGGTCACACGTGGCACCGTAGTTCTCCGTAACCAGTATCGCCAAATAAGGAAAAAAAAAAAAAAGCTAAGAACCCAGGGGGGCTCGAACCCGGGTCTGTTGCGTTCCCACCCAGTATAATACCACTGAGCCACGCCGGTTTTTTTTTTTGCATGATATTTAATAAAGTATTTGCGCAATAATGACAAATCAAGCGAACAAAAGTACAAATCAAATCGCGACAATAAGCGCTCAAGCGTTACTCATAAACACTCAATGGCTAATACAGCGCGAGTTCCTCACATGAAGAGTTCTTCACATTCTCTTATGCATGGGACTTGTTCACGAACTTGCCCTTAGGCAGGCTTGATGTCGGGAAAGGAATCGCGTTATATAATAATAAAGCGTTTTAAACAGCAGTAGGAACGACCAGGCGTCACACAATGCGAATAGCGTAGCGGGTGGGTCGTCCAATGCTCCAAGGCATTACAAAACTTGTTTTTCATCACCTATATACTGTGGCGCATTCCCACTTCAGGCATATATCTTCATCGTCGTCAGGCCACTTCATGAACAATTGGCACAAAATTCCTGCAATTCTTTAGCGGGTACAAGCTTCTCAAAATAATGACGACAAATAGCAAAGCGAATGCTGGTCTACTATCCGGAAATTATATTATACATAATGCCGTAGTGAATACCCAGAAATTGTGCTTGCAGCAGTTACCCCATAGGGTTTAGAAAAGGTTGTGAAAGGCCGCTCTTCTAGCTTTCGCTGTGACTGCGCTGCACCTTTCGCACATGTCTGGCGTTCTTTTTTTTTATTTCACTGCTCGGCCGGTGCGCTACAAAGGCATGCCGGAAATTCTGCACTGCACATGCTTCCCCACGAACGAGGCACTGCTAAACGTGTCAGGTAAGCTACCACGGTCATTAATTGAGGAAAATAGATCAGCTTGACGTAATATGAGTCTTTCTCGCGACAACCAGAGATGATATATGGAGTTGGGTAAATATGTGGATAGTTATATGTGGCCCTGATAAAGGAATGACACTAAAAAAAAATCATTGCCTTTTCTTTGTGCGCTGATTGGTGACAACGTACTTAAATTCAGGGTGCCAGAAGGCGTAACTTCGCACTGCGCGAGTCGAGTGACCGTGCTCCGTTCGTTCAACAAAGACGGCATCATTTCACTGACTTGGGAAATTCTACGAGTCTTTGTATACTTAGGTACGTATGACGAAAACTAAAGTTAGTTCTACTTTGGCTTTCGCGTCGATGCTAGTCAACTGACTCTCACTCCTGCAAAGAATGGAAGGCGTTGGTGTTCGTAAGGCTCATGTTACTTCTATCTTCTCTTTTTATATGCGATAGGGTGACCAACGTTCATAAAACCATGTTACCAAGTGCCGGTGAAGTTTACGTTCTTTGCTCGAAATCCTGAATACCACGAACATCTGTGGACTCCCAATCTTCCTTGGTCTACGCGACATAGGTACTAAAGTGCAATAAAGCCTAACTTAGCAATGTTAGCTATTTTACGGGATGCAGTACTCAGGAACTAACACTGCAGATTTTCACTGTAGGGCTGGAAAACTATTCAATGCTAAAATTGGCATCACGCACGGATTTACCTGGTATGAGTATTACAGAATGATGAATTAATCTAATACTGCTGCGTGCAACCGGTAACTGACCACTCTATAGGTGTCACGCATCTTGCGGGCTTAAAAAAATTTGGCTCACCAGGAGTTGCCAGATATGCTTTTGAATTTTATTACGTGAGATCCGGGGTGAGGGCGCAATTAGAAGAAATGCATACATTTGCATGTTTCGCCATTGCGTCTCGCAGAATCATTGTAAAGGTCATTAATTCAGTAATCGCAGCTTTGGTACAGACCTTGACTTTTTTTTGTTATATTTGCGAATGTCAAAAATCTCGCCGCTGCGCTGCGTGCACCTAGAGGTAGAGGCCAGAGGCTGGCGTATTTCGGGAAATGCGGGTTACCTTCGCTTGTACCGCCGAGAACGTTCCAAATTGTTAATTTTTTATTGACGTGCATCTACGCCATTCACCTCTTTACCCTGCTTTCTTTACTGGCGAATCGACTGTAGAATGGCGGCGGGAAAAGCGGCCGGCCTTCTTATTGGCTTGCTTGTACTCGTGCGGGCAACTCAATCCGCTGAAAATACGGATGGAACCATTTCTTCTCGCGAGGTGAGTATCTAGATCCGTGGCAGCAGGTCAGAGAGAATTTCACAGATAGCAGCCGTGCTTGGTTCGGATACTTGAGTTTTTTTTTTTATTTTCCTCTTCGCCTACAGGAGAGCCATCCACCCTGGAATGTGGGGTCTCCCCGAGAAACTATGGCATGCGTTGCTGAAAAGGCAAACTGGTGCAGGGGGTCTCACGATGAGGCGGAGTGCAAACAACGTTGGTTCAGATTTTGTCACGAGAGACCATTCACATACGTAAGTCTATTCAGTACACTACTTAAGGTGGAGAGATAATTTTAACAGCCAAGCTTTCTGCAACTCGGACCTTTCATTATTTGTCTCTCTCGACAGCTCACCTACAATAACACTAGTTACGAACAAAGATGCCACATGTGTGAGAGGGAAATAAAAAAAGTAAGTGTGCTAGCTGCATTACAGAAGTGCAATCAATAATACAATATATATATATATATATATATATATATATATATATATATATATATATATATATATATATATATATATATATTGTTCTTTTTGTGAAAATATGTTCTTTTTTTGCCCCTATGAGCAGAAAGCCGAAGCAACTCCCAATGGAAAAATGTTCAGGGTAAGTGTCCTTGACGCTCTAAGCAATAACAGCGGGCAGCGAGCGCGGTCGGCGCTTGGGTAGAGCGAGTTTCAACATGTGTATAAGATGCATATGGCGTTTAGCCTTAGCCTATCGTATTACACTCATCTTCACCGGTGCCGCGTGGCAGCTTTATGTAAAGTAAAACTACAAACAAAACATCTGAGGTGATTTTTGTTTCGGGACGTTGACCCCACTATTACAACCCCTCAGCAAAAGGAGCAAGCTGCTAATAGTTAGCTGTCAATAATTAGCCATCAACAATAAATTTTCTTTGAATATAACTCTTTGCAATACTTGCCATGGCTTATACAGAAGAATAAATTTTTCCAGATTTTCACTCACATAAAGTAAAACAAAGTATGTTATATTTGCACCTACTAATAAGCCATGCATCACACTGAAATTCTCCTTCTAGTGTACTGTGGTGGAGTGTGTTCAAACACAAAAACCTCTAGGAGTATAATTCGAGAAAAACAAGTCATGTAATACACATCTATCAACTCTTGTCCCTGAATTAGGCAAAATTGTAGGCTGCATGTATAAGCTATCCGACCTTGTGCCTTCATGGCTAAAAAAGGCTACATACTACGCCCATTTCCATTCTTGGTCATCCTACTGCACGCTAGTATGGGCAGAAACGTCTGCGCAGAACCTGAAGAAATTAGAGGTGCGACAGAAAAAAAGTTCTTGTAATATTTGAAACATTTCATGGGCTTCCTAGCAAACTGGGTGCTCACGAACTCTTTACAAGCAATGATCTCACTAAAGCACGTGACCTTTACACATATAAACTAATACTTTACACTCAGGAAAACAAACTTCATTAGCATTCGGTTGACAGCTCATGTCGAAACACTCTACAAAATCAATCCAGACCAGTTACTTTTCTTTTTGCATACGTTACGGAGAATGCCTTCTGAATTATCAGATATCTACTATATTGAACAAACTTTATAACTGGTATTGATTTTGAACTGGCTCAACGTACGTTCAAGAAACAAGCGCGAAGTCTGCTCCTCAACATACAGCATTTGTGAAATGGAACTATCTGTATTTCATCACGTTTCTTTAATTTATTCTTTTTGTATGAAAATTGTTCTTGCGCATGTGCACACAAGACTTGTGTAACCCATGCACAACACGCGTGTTTGTTTTGTTCACTTAAAAGAAACAAGCTCTTACTATTGCCTATGCATGTAGAGTTAAGTTCTTGATATTTTTGAATGCCTGCGGTTCTTGTATGGGTCTTTGGTCTCTCTTAAGATGTCTGCGACATTTTTTCGCCTAAGGGCCTCTGACTCGATGTCTTAGAAATCAACTTGGCTTACAATGACTAAAAATAAGAGCTTTCGTTGCTGCTGCATAAACTGTTTCTTGAAGAACATTTTACTTCCCGCACACAGTTTGCCAGTAATCCGACAACTCAAAGGTACATTTATACAAATCAGTGTCTCTTTGACGCCGGCGCTGTGCACTATTTGCTGAGTTTGAAAGTAACTTCCTCGCACAGTTTTTTCTTACGAATGACATGTTTCCTAACAGATGAAAATACAATGGCAACACTAATCTCTTAATGAAAACCATTACAATGAGCTGTCAACATTTGCTCGAACAAAGTTATGTCGCGATGCTACCTCACATTCTATTTTCCATTCCGCCGTGACAATGTGTTGCCACTATCACACATAGTCGCCACACAGTGGTTGAGGCCAACTGGGTGCTGAACGGGTCTTGGCGTGTTTACCGTAACTATGATCACCGCGGTACGTGGTATCTAAATGAATGAAACTTTCTTGCGACACGACAAACTATAGTTAACATGGGGCGCCGTTTCGAAAGGTGGACTTACTTTGGTCTGAGCATCAACCTTCACAAAAACAAGAAAACAAGTCGACTTATCAACACATTGGCTTTAGCGTCCCTTGTCCCACTTGAAGTAATCTCTATAGATTCAAGCCCCTCTCTCCGTCTGAATTTCTGCCGTATTATGATATTCCGTTTAAGCGGAGGCGGCCTTATATTATTTAATTATTTCTCTATTTTTACAGTACTGTGAGCCTATAGTTGATGCTGTAAGCAGGAGTTGGAGCAAAAAGTACAAAATGAAGTGAACAAATAAAGATAGAACAACCGCGTCACAAGAAAAAGGAAAGAGAAAAGAGCAAATACAAACCGCATACGCAATCTTTCAAGGTCTGGTATGTGCGAACTGATTGTAGAATGGTAATACAGTACTGCTCGCGTAAAAAAATAAAAAAATAAAACGGCGCTCTAAATAAACAATTGATATGTGGGGTTTAACGTCCCAAAATCACCATATGAATAAGAGAGACGCCGTAGTGGAGGGCTCCGGAAATTTCGACCACCTGGGGTTCTTTAACATGCGCCCAAATCTGAGCACACGGGCCTACAACATTTCCGCCTCCATCGGAAATGCAGCCGCCGCAGCCGGGATTCGATCCCGCGACCTGCGGGTCAGCAGCTGAGTACCTTAGCCACAAGACCACCGTGGCGGGGCCGCTGTAAATAAACAAGTTAAGTATTAAGCTTGAAACATATCGACAGCGTTCAAACCATAATGATCGTAAAAGTAAGCAGTGGGAAATTGCACAACTTTGGCTGGGAGGCGGATCCACTCTCGAAATGTCTTCGGGGGAAAACAGTCCACTAAAGTTTCAGTGTGGCAAGAGTATTTCTTCACGTTTTTATCATGGTGGAACTGGTTGTTTCAGTTGGACATGCACTGGTTCCTATGGAGTTGCAAGTTAGCGCTGTGTGTGTGTGCATCTCTCCTTTGTGTGTGTCCTTGTCGTGGTGCGCTATACCGGTGAAAATGATGAATCCCAACCAACTAGCCTGGCAACGTGCCTTAGCAAAGTTCCTATGGAGGTTTATGTATACTACGTTTATCATTGAATAGCTGGTGAATTATTTTTAATTGGTCACGTCGGTGTCTGTTTTGAAGAGATTCCAGGCCTGCTTTAACAAGTCACTCGCTGAGGTTCGCCAACTATACGAACAATATAGAAACCTAGCCGCTTTGTTTTAAATGGATTCTAGTTTCTTTTGTTGCCTCGAGCATACGAGTCCTAAAGTATTGTTGTGCACTCTTTTACAGAACAGGATAATGTTCTATATACTATTATTTTAACCTCGCGCGTACATTGCCTTAAACTTCTTTTGTCATCAAGAACCAAAATCTCGCAGTGATTTCTTTATAACCTTCGCCATACTTTCTTTAACACTCAGATCCGACTTTATTGTAGCACCAAGGTATTTACATCTGTTTACGACGGCAAAAGATTTTCCCGTCTATGCAATATGAATAGTGTAATTACTGCCGTTAACGTTTCACAGTCATCGCAACTAATTTTGTATCGCTTATTTTCACTTGGGAATCCATACACTTCCCTGCAGTTTGTGCTAAAGCATTGTTACAGTAAAGAAAGAGACAGAAACTTTCGGTTAGAAAACAAAGGATTTCGTCGTCATCATCGGTCTATATATCGCTAGCATGCTACTCTGTATAGGGACGGGGAAGGGGAATAAAACATTTTAGTAGAGCCTGATGGCAACGATTCTGGAAGTGGTGAAAGGTTATACACTCATCAGCATAGAGCTTAATTTTATCGGGTACATAGTGAACTATATCAATAATAACTATCAACATCAACAAGAGTCTCAACAGGGACAATTCTGAAGTGCCTTGCTTGACAGGTATCGGATCTGAGCCCATATCGTCAAACGTGATACTATGTGAGTAGTAACATGTATTATCTATGTTACCATGCTACTACTAAATATTTTAATTTATGTGAGTAGTAATTTATTATTCAACAATGGTATCAGTTTTGAGAAACGTTTAGGGTGCCAGAAGCGATCAAAGACTCTTTCAAAGTCAAAACAAATAACATTGATTTGGCTTTGTTGATCAACAATTGCTGAGAAGTCATAAATTATCCCCACGAGTGCCGTCAAGGTTGAAAAACCTTTTTTGAATCCGTGTTGCCTCTCATCGATGGTATTGTCATGTTCGATATACGTCGAGATGTGATTGAACACAATGTGCTTGAGGTCCTCAAAACGTACACAGAGCAATGATATGGACCTGTAAGACGAAACAAATGATGAATCTTCTGCTTTAGAAATCGGCTAAATTTTTCTGCTTTGCCAATCAACAGAAATCTCTGCTTTAGATAGTGACAGATAAATCATTATGCACAAGTACTTACTGCACTGTTCAACATACCTGACGAGGAAAGGCATCGGTTATGCCGGCTGTACCTGGGCATTTTTCGTTGTAGATGTTTAGCAAAAACAAAAAAAACTCCCTTCTCGGATACGAAAACGTGATCACTTGGCTCGCTTTTATATACTGGGATAAGGAAGGCATTCTGCACTCATAATTTGTAAATATAGAGAAAAAACTGTCAAAGGCTGATGTGGTTGCTGACTATGTCGTCATGGTCTAGCCATTTAGAGATAATTTATGAGTTGTTTCTTTTTAGGTGCCCAGTGCGAGATAGAATTTTTCCGGTGGCCCATAACTTGACGCTGAAATAACAGTCCTTTGTTATTCCCAATGCAGTGTTTTACTTGCGCACATAAGAGTGAAAGGTTCTTTTTGTCAGCAGTAGGGGGAGATAAATGAGTCCACTTTTTCAATCATTTCGCTTCAGGTTGTAGCTGAATAATTTCTCTATTTATCCAAAAATTAGTATTCTGTGTTGATTTCATAATATATGGCACCAAAATTGGGGTACCCTTAAGCTACGCCTTCAAGAGTTTAACGCGATAGCTAAATTCTGTTTCTATTGCGTATACTTCCAACACTGAGGGCATGAAATCTTTTCAAACTTGCTATGCACCCAGTACGTGGCCTTGAGGGTGCAATAGCGTGTGTGCATTTTGTAATGAGTGACTGGCTTCAACATATGAAGTAATGATAATTCCATGTTCTGAAGCCCGATTACAATGCACGCTTCTCCCAGTCATTACTACGGCAGTATTCCGCATTGTATTCTGAAACATGTACACCGGACGCGTGCGATTGTTAAGCTTGAAAGTTACTTTGCATGCCCAAGCATAAGCGTGGCTGTGTGGTAGAATACCCGCTTACGACCCGGGTTCGATTCCACTCAGACTCGTAATTTATGATTTATTTTATTTGTATTTTTGATATTTAGGTCATGCAAAGACGACCGTTTTTTGCTCACGACGTCGACACCAAAATTTCTGCGACACGAGCTCTGTAACGCTATCGCGTTGAGGCATTCACAGTCACCGGTACAACGCTGTTGAAAAAAAAAACACCACAATTTTCCGGTGGTGGCACAAACGGTTCACTCACTTAGAGCAGCGAAATGTGAAATGTTCCAACAAGGCGACTTTCGCAACATCATTGGCACGTCCGAAATTTGGAACTACGCGCTGATATTTTTGCTTTCCTGGGGTAAATATTTGCTACACCACCAACCAAATGATTTCTGAATCTACAGGGCATTATATAGACAGGAGGTACTATCTCGTCTAGGAGATGGAAGTAACTAGAATAAGAATGGGGTGTAGCTAATTTGGCAGGTACTTTCAAATTATGACAGGTAGATTGCCACTATCTCTCAAGAGGAAGGTATATAACAGCTGTGTCTTGCCAATACTTGGCTATGGAGCAGAAACCTGGAGACTTACAAAGAGGGTTCAGCTTAAATTGAAAACGACGCCGCGAGCAATGGAAAGAAAAATGGTAGGTATAACCCTAAGAGACAAGAAGAGAGCAGATAGGATTAGAGAACAAACCGGTGTTAAGGATATCATAGATGAAATCAAGAAGAGGAAATGGACATGGGCCGGGCATGTAGCACGTAGACAGGATAACTGCTGGTCATTAAGGGTAACTAACTGGATTTCAAGAGAAGGCAATTGGGTTAGGAGGAGACAAAAGGTTATGTGGGCGGATGATATTAAAAAGTTTGCGGATATAATTTGGCAGCAGCAAGCTCAGGACCGAGTTGACTGGCGGAACATGGGACAGGCCTTTTTCCTGCAATGGACGTAGTCAGGCTGATGATGATGATGATGACTATCTAGCCGCTCCTAATACCCGAGTACAACCAGCTTTCTGTTAAGCATACGACGTGCTTGAAAGTACTTTCGAGTGCCCGCGTGTCAAGGCTAGCCCTCATAGAATTAACTTATCCTAATACACTACTAAGCTGAATTATTCTTCTAAATTTGAAAATTTTGTTGAATCACACTAAAAAGAAAAACAGACGGACAGAAGAGGCTGACAAGAACAGCTCTTGTCAGCCTCTTCTGTCCGTCTGTTTTTAGTGCACTTCAACAAACTTTTCAATTATTAACCTAATACAACTGGCCCAACTTGCCATCTTGCCACAATTTTCTTTTAAAGCAAAGCTTTCCTATTCTGCTCTGCGCCATCGTCATCATCATAGTAGTGGTAGTAGCAGTAGCAGCAGCAGTAGTAGAGGCAGTAGCAGCAGCAGCAGCAGCAGCAGCGGCGGCAGCTGCTGCTGCAGCAGTAGTATCAGTAGCAGCAGTGCTAGTAATAGTAGCACATTCTAATTAAGAAGAGTGAAAACAGAATTTTAACACGCTAATGCTCTTCGGGTACTCACTTGACCCTTTTTGAAAGGTAGACGCTGAGAAAGAGAGTTGCCATATACAAGGGAATCGCAGAAGCATCGCAAAGAGAGTTTCGATTGCCTTCCGTGTCGAAGGTGCTGCCTTACACGCCATACATATCACGCGTTTGCTGTTCAGTGTCGTTGTGGCTTTAGTTGTGGCAGGTGTTCTCTCACCCAGGCGACTTGTTGTCTCGTGTTGCCGCCGGCGCGGTGCACCGACAGTGCCTAAGCTGCGCTTCCTCTGTCTTCTCTCTCTCTGTGTGTCTTCCGTCTATTTAATGCGTTGTTGGTTTCAAATTGCGCTGGTCGCATGTCTTGGTAGCTTTCAGTTCGAACGAATATACGCATCTTCGGTGGTGGTGACGCATAGCTCCGTGCTCGAAGTGACGCTTGGAATAAGGAATAAGCGTGGAGCTGCAGTCACGGAGAACGTGCACCAGCTAACGGTGAGTGATTGCACAGCTCTAGCTGGTCGTCTGCAGTTACCCTGCAGAAGTAGGCTGCCAGCCATTTCCAGCAGTAGCATGCGTTCGCGGGTATGTTGCAGATGTCCAATCAAAACTGTCACTCAACGAGTTAACAGAGCTATACGCGGTTTTATGTTAGCGATTGCACCACTCATACAATGAGTGGTGCAATGAAGGGCGCTGCCGGGATTCAATACCACGACTTGGGAGCATGCAGCCGAGTACCTTATCCACTAGACCACCACGGATGGACCGCAGGTTCTCTTTTTTATGACTTCTCAGGCTGAACAGGGGCGACAACGTACCAAGCCATAAGTTCGATTCCTCCTGCGTCAAGACCATTTGATTTATTCTTATACATAAGGAATAAATATTGAAACATTATTCTGATATCTGCAGCCTATTTTTGCGCTACTTGGCACTATGTACATCACACATATTTCGCTTGGCTATACCTATGGAAACATGTAAATGAGAACAACCTTATTGGTTTTCGCAGACCATCTTATTAAGCTTATTGTATTACATTGTTGAAAATCTTCATTTTGACAAGTGTTATTAAAACAATGCTATGTCTGAACTATTTTTTTGCAGTTACTGGGCACAGCGGTAAGTAATATTGTTGTTGCTCAAAAATACTTCACTATTTCCAACAGTAGTCGAGCAATGTAGAGCATGGGTCAATTGAGTAGCTAAAGTAACCATAGAGTCGCTTTACCCACGCAGGAGAGTCACCGGCAAGAGTCGTCTGACTTCCTAAGAGTGTGATACTTCGCAAAAGAGTGTTTTCACTCTTCTTAAGAGGGTCAGGTGACTGTCCTGGAGCGCGCCGACTCTGTTTCACCAATAGAGTGGCACTGCCTCTCTAAAGAGAATCGTATACGTTACAAGCCAGAACCATTCGAAAAGAGTTAGGTATACTCTTTTTTTAGAGCGCAGTATATTGATAGCAGCAGTAGTAGCAGCAGTAAAAATAGTTGTAGAAGTAGTGGTAGTAGTAAAAGTATCACCAGCAAACGAAATAGCACCAGCAGCTGTAGTAGTAGTAGTAGTAGTAGTAGTAGTAGTAGTAGTAGTAGTAGTAGTAGTAGTAGTAGTAGTAGTAGTAGTAGTAGTAGTAGTAGCATAACAGTAGTAGTAATTCCAGTCATGCACGTCACATCCCCAGGTGTAAATTAATGAAACGAACTCATAGTGATGATTATCAAGAGGATGAATTTTGGCACAAAATACCCTGAAAGAAATTAGCGATTCGTTTATTCAGAACAATGAGAGAGTTTCATAATTAGCCCTGAACCACTCGCATGCGTACAACTTTGCTGTACGAGGCTTTTTACAGCGTCGAGTAGGCTGTTTACGTTAATATCAGCCCAACGCACGTCAGCTCAACCAAGAGGACAAATCCCGTTTTTATATGTTCAAAGTAGACTTCTACGCACATAAATTCCACGCGTCACTGGCTAATCCCACGTACACACAGCAGTGCAATACAAATTGTTTGTGCGTGTACGCAGATGTTGCCAAACTACCCAAACTTTTTCTCGGTGGCATCAACTGATCCATTGGACAAGGGAATATGCGAAAGTTATTTCTGGATGGGCTGCCTGCAGTGTGACCTGGATAATGGATATTTCTGGCATTTTTACCGTCAGGACATTTACGTCCGAAATGTGAAGTAAGTGAAAAATCTCTTAGATGTTTCAGAAATTTCAGTGGGAGAAACGTAGCAAAATAATATAACATTTTATTAAGGGCTTGAGGTCCCAAAACACACTGCATGATCATGAGAGGCTCCGCAGTGAAAGGCTCCGAAAATTTCGACCACCTAGAGTGCTTTAACGTGACCTATATCTAAGCACACGGGCTTCCAGCACTTTCGTCTCCATCAAAAATGCGACCACCGTGGCCGGTATTTCGTCAAGTTACCTGTGGGTCAGCAGCCGAACGCCTTAGCCACAACATCACCACGGCGGCCACCCATGGTGACTGGCTGATGATAAACTTGTCAACATCTTCCCCCTCCATCATGTTTATCGTCAGCCCGAAAAAAACAAAATATGCCGGCGCTGCGTCGAATGCTGCCTGCGTTCTCGTATCGCATTCGCATGCTGCGGCTGCTATTTCATCACTTTCTTTATATATATATATATATATATATATATATACCCATTACCTGTGACATTGCTCCCTCTCCTCGAAAAGCATCGGCTCGATGCTGGTAATGAGCGTTGAGAAAAAAATGCGAAAGAAAAGATGCTACCATGGAACCCAACAACTCCATCGTAAGGGAAAAAAATGGGGTGGCGTCGTAGAAGAACTCAATAAAGAAAGGAGTAAGTGCACAAGACTATAAAAAAAACCAAGGTGGCAAAAAAATAGTCATTGCATGGTAAGTTAGTCCACGTTCGATGGATGACGCAAGAAATATGACTTGAGTCTTGACACATGCACCACATCACTTTGTGGAAACCGACGGGAACGTCTTGAGGTGCCCTCAGGGAGAACTTCATACGTAACGTTACTGAGTCGGCGCAGAACTTTGTAAGGGCCGAAGTAGCGCCGAAGCAACTTCTCAGAGTGACCACGCTGTCGGATGGGAGTCCACACCCAAACTTCATCGCCTGGTTGGAAGGTAACCTCTCGGTGTGTAAGGTTGTAGCGGTGTGCGTCGGCAGTTTGGCGAGCCTGAATACGGCATCGGGCGAGTTGACGGGCCTCCTCGGCTGCGTTGAGTGAACAATGCAGCGTCCATGTTGAACATGCTCAAGTTGTTGGGAAGGAGCATTGCGTCGAACATTGTAGCGACCTCTCGACCATGAACTAAGCGAAATGGGGTGAAACATGTACTCGCTTGGACTGCTGTATTGTAAGCAAAAGTTACGTAAGGGGGTATATCATCCCAGTTCTTGTGATCAACGGCCACATACATTGACAGCATATCTGCAATTGTCTTGTTCAACCGTTCAGTGAGTCCATTTGTTTGGGGGTGATAACCCGTGGTTTTCCGATGTTCTGTACCACTTAGTCTCAGCACTTTTTGAAGCATCTCTGCGGTGAAAGCTGTACCGCGATCAGTAATTATCACAGCTGGCGCTCCGTGACGAAGTACGATGCTGGTGACAAAAAACTGTGCGATTTCGGCTGCGGTAGCTTTGGGCAGGGCCCTTGTTTCACTGTAACGCGTTAAATAATCGGTGGCAACCACAATCCACCGGTTTCCAGACGAAGAGGTGGGAAATGAGCCGAGCAAGTCAACTGCCAATTTGATGGAATGGTGTCTTCGGCGTGGCGATAGGCTGTAGTAGTCCTGCTGGTCGGACAGGTGGAGCCTTACGGCGTTGGCAGTCGCGGCATGTGCGGACTTACTGCTTGACTGTCTTCGCGAGGCGGGGCCAGTAGTATGAGCGGCGAATTCTTTCCAATGTGCGCGTGTAGCCAAGATGTCCGGATGATGGCTCGTCGTGACAAGCATTTAAAATATCGTCCCGAAGCGAGGTCGGCGCAACCCGTAGGTAAGTAGCCTGGGTATGGTCGAAATTTTTCTTATAGAGGACTCCATCCCTGATGCAGAACGAGGCCAGCGAACGTGCGAAGTTTCGAGGAAGGCTGCGTTTTCGGCGTTCGAGGTAGTTAATCAGCGGGCTTAGCTCCATGTCGTTGCGTTGTTGTTGAGCCAAGTCGGTTGCTGACACAGAGGAAAGGAAGGTATCGTCCTCTTCAACGTCCGCGTTCGTACTTCCAATTGGTGCACGTGAGAGACAGTCCGCATCAGTGTGTTTGCGTCCTGACTTGTGAATGACTGTAACGTCAAATTCTTGCAGCCGAAGGCTCCAGCGTTCTAGACGACCGGAAGGGTCTTTGAGGTTGGCAAGCCAGCATAAAGAATGGTGGTCGCTAACTACCCTGAATGGTCGACCGTACAAATAAGGGCGAAACTTTGTTATAGCCCAAACAACGGCTAAGCATTCTTTTTCTGTTGCAGAGTAGTTTTTCTCTGCAGATGATAGTGTTCGACTTGCATAGGCAATCACGCGCTCTATGCCATTTTGCCATTGAACCAGTACAGCTCCAAGTCCGACGTTGCTGGCATCTGTGTGTAGCTCTGTGGCAGCGTTGTCGTCAAAGTGACCGAGTACAGGTGGGGCTTGGAGATGGTTTCGTAGCGTGTCAAAGGCGTGATGCTGATCATGGCCCCAAACAAATGGTACGCCGTCTTTCGTAAGTTCATTTAGCGGTTCAGCGATTTTAGAAAAGCCTTTGACGAAGCGTCTGTAATATGCGCAGAGTCCCAGAAATTGGCGGAGGTCGCGCTTGTTCGTTGGGACAGTAAATGCGGCAACAGCTTTAGTTTTCTCAGGGTCTGGGTGTATACCGGCGTGGCTGACGACGTGACCAAGAAATTTCAGTTCCTCGAATGCAAAGTGGCATTTCTCAGGTTTGAGAGAAAGTCCAGCTGTTCGAATCGCCTGAAGAACTGCCTGTAAGCGCTTGACGTGCTACTCAAACGTGTCCTAGAAGAAGACCACATCGTCAAGGTAGACAAGACACGATTGCCATTTTAGCCCAGAAAGAACCGTGTCCATCATTCTTTGAAAAGTAGCTGGTGCCGAGCACAAGCGAATGGAAGGACCTTGAACTCGTAGAGTCCGTCAGGAGTAATGAAGGCGGTCTTTTCGCGGTCGCGCTCATCAACAGATATTTGTCAATAGCCGCTGCGTAGATCCATGGAAGAAAAGTAACGAGCATTGCGAATGCGGTCCAGCGAGTCGTCGATTCGTCGGTAAAGGATACACGTCTTTCTTTGTGATCTTATTCAACTTTCGGTAGTCGACGCAAAATCGGAGAGTACCATCTTTTTTCTTTACTAACACAACAAGGGGATGCCCAGGGACTGGTCGATTGGCTGGATGACATCGTCCTTGAGCATCTGCTGGACCTGTTGGCGTATAACGTCTTGTTCTTTTTGCGAGACTCTGTAGGCATGCTGTCGAATGGGTCTTTCGGTAGGCTCGGTGATGATACTATACTTGGCAAGCGGTGTTTGGTTAACTTTCGAAGTCGTAGCGAAGCAGTCCCGAAATGAGCCGAGTAGCTTCAAAAGACGTTCCCGTTGTGCAGACGGTATAGCCTGGTTTACGTCGAGAGTGCTTGCAAATGTCATGGCGGAATCGTCGCACGACGAAAGAGCAGATAATGTTGAGGGACCAGGGACGTCGGCAATATCCTCAAGGTATGCGATCGCAGTGTGTTTGGTAAGATGGCGATACTCGTCGCTGAAATTCGTGACTAATAGGCAAGCCTGTTTTCTACTGGGCTGAACAATACCTCGGGCAACGCAGATTTGTTGTGCAAAAAGTAGGGACAAATTTCCTTCTGAAATTACAGCATCGGGGACGTCTTGGTCACAATCAACGTTGATAAAAAGGCTGCTGCGGGGAGGCAGAGTAACAGATTCGGAGGATACACGTAGGGCAGCCTTCGATGAGCGGGCGTTTTCCGGATCAGGATGAAACGGGTCCTCGAACGACACCTGCAAGTCTCGTAAGTCAATAATTGCGCCGTGTTCGCGAAGAAAGTCCAGCCCCAGGATGAGTGGACGGGAGCACACAGGTAATACGAGGAAAGACCCTGTGAACATCGAAGCACGGACTCGAACACGGGCTGTGCACATTCCAGTTGGCGTGACGAGGTGGCCCCTGCCGTGCGCAACGGCGGTCCTTGCCAAGGCGTAGTTACCTTCCTCAGTTGGGATGCTAGGGCGCTGCTCAGAACCGAATAATCGGCGCCGGTGTCGACAAGGGCAGTGACGACGTGATTATCGACGTGTACGGCGATGTCGGCGGAAACAGTCTTGTGACTTTCGGAAACGACTGGAAAGGTCAGAACAGCCTTCGTCGGGTCTTTGCGTCGAAGGAGGCTCTTTGACAGTTCGTTGGGACGCGGCTTCACCCCCAGGAGCCGCGGTTTCTAGTTTCCCCTGTGGGGACTCGGTGACCGGCCTCTGAAAGGAGCATAGGATGACGAGGGAATGCTAGGTGACGTGGGGCGGCGAGGTGATGGAGATCGTGATTGGGGGTGTGGACCAAGGCGAGGAGCTTGCTGGGCCGTAAGGTACGCTTCGATGTCGCGGGGACGCTCACCGTAACGCGGGCACCTGAGCATCTGGGTGAAAGCCACGGAGACCAAGTTGGCGGTACTGGCAGTTACGGTAGACGTGACCCGCTTCGCCACAGTGGTAGCAGAGTGGACGGTTATCGGACGTACGCCACACGCTGGCCTTTGTGGCGTTCTGCCGCGATCCAGACGGACGATAAGTTGTTGCACTCTGAAACCTTGAAACGGGTTGCGGAGTCGAAGAGGTGCCCTGATATTGATGGCTAGCCTGGTCCATTCTCCCCATGGTGGGATCAGGGCCATGTGGTGAAGGAGATCGCAGAGCCGCCACGTAGGTCAGCACAGGGGCTTCAGGCCTTGTTGGCGCGAGTGGGGTGACCACGTGTCGGATCTCATTTCGGATTAAGTCTGCGAGATCACTTACGGGTGGTTGGGGTCCCGCTGCTTGGAGTTGGCGCAGCTCGTCCCGCACGACGCTTCTTATGAACTCAGCGAGAGCATGCCTTTCGCTGTTAGCCCCGATAAAGCATGCAGCAGGGGTCAGGTCGTGGCGTTCATACT